GCTGTTTCTTAGTGGATTTAGGCCAAGGGGCCTAACAAATACATGTAGAATGAACTGTACAATACAGCGTCTTCGAGACCGAGCCAGTGGATGGGTGTAGGGGTTTTGCCACAACGGTTGCGTTCGTGGAAATCGCAAGCGGAGGGAACCTGGGAAGTTTTGGCGCCAACAACCATTTCCTGTCCTCACGACTCGAGGCAGGTGCTCTGGTTTGTGGCAGATCCGCGGGGGAGACTTCTTGATGTTGTTTTAGTGCGTCCCCGTGTCGCTGTACGACTCGACTGCTTTGCCCTCAAAATCGGCTCTTCGAGAAATTGCTTCTTGAAGTCCCGCCGTGGCCGAGATTTGAATTCCAGCGCCCTTTCTCCAGTGTCCCGCCCATGCCGGAAAACATCCCACCCGTCCATTTTCGGCACTTGGGCATAGATTTTGCGATTGAAATCCACATTTGCATCGCCGACTCGACTTTGGTTGCCCAGACAAGCCCTGCCCAACCCAGCCCGTCCGTCCCTCCACCTCACTCCTGGGCTTCAGTTCGCTTCCACTTTCGAGTCATGGCTCACAACCATGCCCCAATCTGTGGAATCCACCCCAACGTGCTGTTGCTGCCTTGCTTCATTGGGAACAACTTCCAGTCAGCCAACCCGCCAAAAGCGCAATCCCCCGCCCTCGCGTTCCTCCGATCCTAGTCCAATTCTGGCCCAGCCCTTTGTCTCCTCTCACCTTGCGTTACTCTCCTTGCTCTCACAGGTTGTTGGCACTGGTGAATCCTTAGCCACTGAGCATTTCCCAATCCCCTCATTATCGCCTCCACCCTTCTGATAAAACAAGCACCCCAACCGTACGAAACTAACGCGCACTGTACGTGGAAAAGCACTGTCATCGAGGGAGACCGTGCAGCACAAACCTAAACTGACGTAGGAACAGCCACTAGACTAGCCAGTTGATAAATCACACTCGAAGCGTGTCGCTGCTGCGAAAACCCCCCCCTCATATCGGTATCAACAGCTTGCTAGACGTTCCAATACTTCATAGCGCGTTGGCCAGTCATATACTGATTTCCCTATCTCAATAGCTACACGGAATGGCGATACGACGCGATCGCAACCTAGTGCTTATACTCTCCTCCACCTTCCTCCTCCTCACGCTGCTGCACCTCCGACCAGCTTTCGCGCAACCCAATCCTACGGCGGAAGTGCCCGTTCCAACTGACGTGTCTACCGCCGCGCCACCCGCTCTTGCGCCGGAGCCGAGGGTCGATGTTCCCGCGGCTGGCAAAGGCAGCGCAGCGGTGCCCGTAACCCCACCCGGAGCAGCGGAAGTGGGGAAGAAAGGGAATGGTGCGGGTGCGGGCGCGGGCGTGGCCGTGGGGAATACTATGAAGGGGAATACCGATCCGTGGTCTCCGGCAATGGTGGCTAACTACGGGCAGCTGATCCGCGCGCTGAATCAGCGCCGGCCGATCGTGATCGTTGATACATTCTACCTCAAAGGCCCCATGCCTAACATCACGTGGACCGTTAACATCACCGGTCACCCTCGCTGCAAGAAATCCGAGGTGCGCGCACGCGGCGGGGAAGTGGATGTGGAAGCGTGAGCTGGAGAGCAAGGGAGAGAAAGAAAGTGAATGCGAGGGGGGGAGAGAGAGCCTTTTTATTTGACTAGAATTTTATGTTTACACCGGTTCGTCTCTAGCGTTTGCTTTCGTCACCGTTTCTTTTGCACTAGTTCCCTGAAGCTCCATACGCGCCTCACACCTGCTGCTTTACTGCCCTCACGCCGCTATCGCTCAGCTCAATCCTCCGCGCAAACACACCTTCGCCGAACCCCTCTCCTCCCTCCACCTCCCTTCTATCTCCCTGCATTCGACTACTTTCCCTCGCTTCTCCTACATCTCCCTAACGATAACCCATTCTCCCGTAACCTTCCCCTCTTCCGCGTCGCAGCTGGGAATGTGTCGCATAGACGCGCGTCGCCGCAGTCGCCACTTCATAGTGGAAAAGGGCGGGCTGCTCGCCATCTCCAATCTGCAGCTCAGCCGCGGCCGCCCCATCTCCGGCAGCGGCGGCTCCATCTGGATCATGAACGGCGGCCAGGCGCAGCTCGACGGCGTATTTTTCCGCTTCAACGGACTCTACGGCGTGGTACGCGGCGGTGGAGATTTGGGACGGGGTGGTGGAGGTGTGCGTGCGACGGGGACTGCCTTGGTGTGCTGGTGTCGCTGTGTGTGTTTGTGCGGAAGGGGGAGGGCGGGGGGAAACGGGAAGGGCAAACGTGGGTGCTTGGTTATGTCGGCTTGTGTGTGTTTCGAATCGGTTTTCATCGCGGATGGAGTCTGTTGCGTGTGGACTGGAGCGCCGGCACGAGGTTGGTCTCCCTCGTTTCTCGCGTATGGAGCCAAAACGCGGAGTGACGGATAATGCTGACAAGGCTGTTGTTGCGAAGGAAATGGATGCTTGCAGTCCATCGCTTTCGGACCTGATGACTCCCTCACGTTCATTCTACTCTACTCTACCCACCTCTCCCTCTGCAAGAGGCTACCTTTACCGACGCGGAAGATGCCCCTGTTCTTGCTACCCACCTCTTATCCTCGCCTCCCCCTCCACTCTTTCCTCCATGCGCCCCGCTCTTTTTCCCATCCCCCTTCCCCAATCGCTTTCTTCCCCCTTTTCCCCGTTCCACCCCTCCGCGCAGACGACGGCGGGCGGCGCAGTGGAGGTGGATGAGGGCGGCGCGCTGCACTGCCACCGCTGCCACTTCATCCGCAACTTCGCGGGGTTCGGCGGCGCCGTGTCGCTCGCCAAGGGCGCGGAGATGACGGCGGATGCGAACGTGTTTCACCGCAACATGGCGTCGACGGCGGGCGGCGCGGTGAGCGCGATCATGAAGGCGACGGTCAACCTGCACCGCTCCAAGTTCAACGCCAACAGCGCCGCGGTACGTCGCACTGAGTTTGACTTCAATTGACTTCTATGGAGCTGCGTGCGCCGCGGTTGTTTGCGCGGTTTGCCCGCTCGTGTTTCCCTCGCATGTCGCAATCGCGCTTTTCTCAAGCTTCCACCCTCCCTTCCCCTTGCCTCACGTCTCTCTTTCCATCCGCGCGCGCATGATGTGCAGGTGGGCAGTGCAGTGCACGCGTTCGACTCGAGTCTCACCCTCTGCCAGGCCAGCTACTACAACAACAACGCCTCCATCCCTGTACGCTCCTCTCCTCTGCCGCTCCCACCATCCCATCACGCAATCCGCCAGTCCGTCCGTTGACACGTGTCCACGTCATCCTAGTTTTCTCTCTTTCGCTCTCCTATCGAACGTCGTCAACTCGTTCCTTCCTTCACAACGAAATATCCGTTTACCCTGCAGATATGAATCGTTCCGTCTTTCCCTCTGTCTGTTCCCTTGCTCCTCTATCCTTCCCTCTGCTCCTCGTTCGATTTGCATTCGTGTGCGTCCGTCTGGTGGCGCGTGTGTGGCCACACGAGAGCAGGGAAGCGTCTTTCTGGCGAGCAGCTCGAGTGCAGTGACAGCGTGCAACCTGCACAAGGATTCGTTGGTGCTTGAAACGGGCTCCACGCTCTCCAATACGGCGTGCACCACTGCGTGCGGCAGCAGCAAGGGCACGCTGGGCAAGCACAACAGGTGATACGCGGAAACGGAAATCGCCGGAAGGGACGGCACGTGGCTGGCGCTACTCCAACCGTAACATGCTGGAGCATAGGCAGCTGTTGTGGAGTTCGTCAGTCCTAAGTTGTCAAGACAATCCACATGGCTTTTTCCATAACCCACCGTGCCTCTGTTAATCGTCGACCTGTCACCACCACTTGATCCTCGCCTAAGGATATGCGGACATGTTGCACTGGCTGGGAAGGGGAGGAGGGTGTTGGTGGTGAGGGAAGAGAGTATTGTGAGTGGGTGGATGTTAGGGGTGTGATGCTTCTAGGTTGAATTGGCCTTAGCTGGCGCTAGTACCTAGTGTAGCCCTAGGACTAGCTTGTTACTGACTAAATGCTGCTTCAAGTGTGTGATTGTAGGTAATGGTAGGCACTCAATGTGTGATCTTTTCTGGAATAAAAACTCACAGTAATGGTGAGAGAAAATGCATGAAAGCTCGTTGCAATTAGGGCACGTTCTCTGCCAGTGTCAGGCAGGCTGATACGAAGCTGTGAAGTGTTTGGATTCGATTAATGACGTGGAACGTTCGGAGCTGTCGATAGCCTTGTGTCAGAAAACCTGACAAAGGCCAAGAGCGCACCCTCAGAATTATTTGCCCACCGAGCAATTTGGATAGTCTTGTGCAAATGGTTAGTTCCAGTATGTACAACATGTTAGACAAAACGCTTGCGGTGTACCAAATACTTAAACCCGTTATGTGACAGTAATGGCCGGATAGCTCAGCTCAGGGAATGTCCCGTTTATTCTTTCACGTTGGTGTCGAGCAAGTTCTGCAGTCACTCTTGTTGCGCAATGCAGTAGACACTCAAGTCGCCCAGTGCTGATGTCGCAGCACTAGGTCTTGTTACGCTAAAGCTACTAATCTGAAGCTTGTTTTATTGGATTCCCAGTCACTGAATTGATCATTTAGAAGCACTTTAGACCGTTCCGCGAACCCTGCATCGCGCACCAGCTTGTCGCCTGCAATGGCCGCCGCGCCCTCATCGCAAGCCTCTCAGCCTCCGATGATATCGGGTGAGCCGCTTGTCGAAGCGCCTTAAATCAGCCTCCGTTGATACCGAGTGTGCCACGTGTCGAAGCCCCGCGGAGCTGGATAGCTCGCTGCTTCGTTGTCGGCGAGCTATTCAAACCCAAAAGTTAGCAAGGAAAGGATAGGGAGGGAGAGCGGAGTAGCATGAGAAGCGGAGGGGGAAAGAAGCGGAGAGCGAGAAAAGGCGTAGAGAGCGAGAAGCGGTGAGAGGTTGAAGATTACGTTCGGATGGAAATCCACTGTACGGAATGCCATCACTGCCATTCTTCCACTCCATTCCTAGTTTCTCACCTTTTCCCTTATGCCACTTCACCCGCGTTTTCCGCCAGCTGCTGACGTGGCAAAGGAGTTCAAAGAGCAAGTTCAGCTGCTTCAAGACCAGGTAAGTACCACATACTGGGGAGATGACACAAAACAAGACCAGGAGCTTACCACCTGCGCTTCCTCTACTCGTGACTCTTCCTCGCGTGATTTTTATCCCTCTCACTCCCCCTTTTCCTCTCTCCCCTCCCTGTCTACCTGTTCCTCTCTCCACATTCCTCTCTCCCCTCCGTTGTCTGCTCTCCCCTCTCTCCCCTCTTTCCTCTTCCCTCCCCTCGCCTCTTTCCTATTCTCCGTGTCCACCTTTCCCGTCTGCCCTCCGACCTTGTGCTCTCATGTCCCATTCCCATGTTCCATTGCTCATGCTCCTCCTTTCTCCCTGTCTGCCTGCCTGCCTCCTCCCCATCTCCCTCCCTGCCTGCTTGTTCTGTCTGCATGCCGACTTGCCTGCGTGCATGAGTGCGTGTGTGCGGGGTGGGTGGGTGGGTGGGTGGGTGCACGTGCGTCAGGACGCAGGAAGAGCAGCGGCGGCAGCAGCGGCGGTGATGCTTCTGGCATCAAGGGACCAAGCGTTGCTGCTACTGCCCTCTGCGGTGCGTCCCTCACGTATGAGCACATGCACGCAGAGCGTTAGGGAGTCAGGGAGGCAGGGAGGCAGGGAGGCAATGAGGCAGGGGGGCAATGAGGCAATGAGGCAGGGAGGCAACGAGGCAGGGAGGCAACGAGGCAGGGAGGCAGTGAGACAGGGAAGCCGGAAGGTAGAGTCACGGGCATGCAGATGCATTCGTGCAGGGGCTTGGTTGTTGGTTCTCCCTGTTTCCATTTTGCACTGCTTACTCTCTGCATCCCGCCCACTTGTTAGAACCCCCACCATCGCTCCTTCCTCCCACCCCTTCATCCTCACCTCCTCTCATCCCGCCCACCCATCCCTGCCGTCTGTCCCCTCCACGTCACAGGTACCGCCTCTCATCAGCCTCCTCACATCGTCATCAGACATGCACGTGCGGGTGGGTATGGGGGGGTGTGTGTGTGTGTGCGCGCGCGCGCGCTTTTGTGTGTGTGTAGTGCAAGATGTGAGTGTGAGTGATTGTGTGTGTGTGTGTGTGTGTGTGTGTGTGTGTGTGTGTGTGTGTGTGTGTGTGTGTGTGTATGGCCGTGTGTGTGTATGCTCCCCCCCTACCTCCCTCCTTCGCCCCCACCCCTCGCCCCTCCCCAGTCCCCCCACCCCGCACTAGCACCTCTCGCCCCTTCCATCCCACCGATAACAAGTCACGTTTGTCTGTTTCCTCCTCACTACCTTAAAAACCTTAGCATCCCATCCCATCTACCTGTTTCTTTCTTCGAATCTATGAATCCTGTATCCAATCCACCCTCTCAACCTCCCCTCTTTCCTCTTCCGTCTCTTGTCTCAACAACCTTGTCCCATCTCCAATCTCCCCTCTCCCCTATCCCCTGTCCCCTCTCCCCTCTCACCCCTCCCATCTCCCCTCTCACCTCTCCCCTCTCCCCTCTCCACTCCCCATCCCCCTTCTCCCTATCCCGGTCTCCTCTCCCTACCCCTCGCAGCGCAATGCACTGGCGGCCCTCACGGCCCTCATGTCTCGCTCGCAGAACCTGCACTCTACAGTCGCCAACACGCCAGGCATAGTACGTACACAACACCACACGACACCATATGCAGCCCAACCTGAATAAATCAAGGTGATCTGATATGATCATCTGTTTGATCCAATTTCCCATCCTGCTTGTCTTCAGTAACTTTCTCCTCACTCCTTCCCAATCCTCATCACACCCTCGCGCAGCTATCACCGCTCTGCCATCCCTGCCCTACCCCCTCCTCCTCCCTCTCCTCCCCCTCTCTCGCCCCACCTCTCCCATCCTCATGCTCCCTGGGTTGTGTGTGCAGGGAGCGTTGGTGGTGGGAGCACTGAAGGAGGAGGTGGGGTTGCGCATCAACGCTGCTGCCTTCCTCTCCAACCTCGCGCTAGAGTGAGTCAGTGGGTGTGGGTGAGTAGGGCTTGTCAGTGAAGGAGACTGTTGGGTCGACTCAAAATTCACCTAGAGTGAGTCAGTGAGTGTGGGTGAGTAGGGCTTGTCAGTGAAGGAGCGAGGGCGGGAAGGAGGGAGTTCGTGAATGGGTGAGTAGGGCGTCAGTGTGTGTAGACATGGATCAAGCAGGGGAAGCGAAAGAACTAGTGTTGAGAATGCTTGTTGGTGTTTCTCTGAGCGTTTGTGACTGTTTGGGCTGGTTCGCATGCCATGCCTGCATGTCATGTCAGGCATGCGCATATCCATTTGATTTTCCAGGGCATGTGCATGTGTGTGCTTCTTTGCATGCATGTGTATGTGTGTGTGCGCGCGCTTGCGTGCGTGCATGCGTGCGTGCGTGCGTGTGTGTGTGCGTGTGTGTGTGCGTGTGTGTGTGTGTGTGTGTGTGTGTGTGCCTATCAGTGCGGAGGGAGTGAGTGTCATCACATCAAGTGCGGGCCAGGAGGCGCTTGCAACTGCTCTCCAAGCGACTGACAACACCGGTCAGCTACACCATCCCGTGACATGCCATGCCGTGCCATACCTTGCCATACCATCCCATGTCATACCATCCCATGCCATGCCGTGCCATGCCGTGCCATACCATCCCATGCCATACCATACCATCCCGTGCCATACCATGCCATGCCATGCCATGTCATGCCATGCCATGCCATCCCATGCCATGCCATGTGTGGTACTCATTCGCATCTCATCTCCGCAGCCACTCTCCAGTCCTCACTCCCCCAAACCCATTGCCCTCCCCTCTTCTGAACCCACCCACCTCGTCTCCACACTCCCCTGTGCATCCCCCCCTGTCCATCTTCCCACCATCCGTCCTCCCACCATCCGCATATTCTCTTTCTTTCCTGCACCTCCCGCCCCCGTCCCTCCGCATCACCCTCCATGGCATGGCAGACCAGAGCAGGGAGGCACTGGTGGATGCCATGTGTGCCATAGCATCCTCCTCCAAAGAAGCAGCAGCTCTCCTTGTCGCCAAGGTCACTCACTCACTCACTCGCATCCTCTCCCTCCTCATGTCCTGCTTCGCCCTCACTTCGTGTTTCCTTCCCTTGTCTCCTGTGCTTGTCCCTGTCCGACTTAGCCTTCCCTTGTTCTGATCTTCTTTCCTCGTTCTCCCAGACATACGTTTCCCCCCTGTTTCTCCTAGAACCGGCGTTTTTTTTCGCCCCTACAATAAAGTTCATATGACATGTCTCACTTCCCTTCGTTTCCATCTGTCTTGTGCCGGATCCCTTGTGTCAACTCCTGAATGAAGTGTTCCTGTACACAAGGATCTCTTTGCACTCCCTATCATACTCCACCATACATACCCCCACCATGTTCCTCTGCTCTTCCCCTCTTCGCCCTCCCCTGCCTTCCTGGACCCCTCTGCACTGCACTCGTCCGTGCAGGGTGCATTGGAGCCGGTAGCAGCTCTGCTGCCCGCGCCACACTCCTCTGAAGTGCACGTGCGAGCTCTCATTGCCATCGGCGTGCTGCTACCCGCCAGGTACCTTCACGTACTGCTGCCGCCACCGCCGCTGCCGCCGCCGCCGCCGCCGCCGCTGCTGCTGCTGCTGCTGCTAAGGCACCTTCAACACACTCACAGACGTACATCCCTGGGTCCCTGTAACTCACTGTCGTGCCACGTCTAAACAATCTAGCCCCACAACCAGTGTTCGCTCTCCTCTCTCTCACTCTCCTCTTTCTCATCACTCACTCCCCCCTCTCGCGTCACTCGTCCAACACAACCGCCGCACTCTCATAACACCCCCTCTCTCCCTCTCACCCAACCGTCACACACTGCCATCTACTCCCACGGCAGCCCTGATGCGCCATCGCGTCTGGCATCTGTCCAAGGAGCACTCCCCTCCCTGCCAGCTCTTGCCAGGTGAGCCCCTCCCCTCCCGTCTGGACTAGAGGTGCCTTTTCAGCCAACTCAGAGGCTACCTTACACCTATGGTGGTGAGCCCACGTGAGCCCACGCATCTCACTGCTAGCTGCTGCCACGGGAACCCACATTCTCTGAACTCACATTCGCACAGGTTCTAGGTTTCATCCTCTTCCTCTCTCCCGTTTGCCTTGAAGTAGGTAGAAGAAAAACGGCTCTCTTTTTGGGAGAAGGATGTAGGTGTCTCCTTGTTCTCTTCTTGCTCAGTGAGGGTTAAACGGAGCTCGTTCTCAGTGTAGCTTCTCTCTCCACCTCCAGTACTGCAGTAGCGTTCGGTCGATGTACAGTAATGAAGCATATACTGTAAAAGAATCAATGCACATTGTTGCAACTCTCCACCAGCCAAGCGTCTCCTCCACTGTCCACCAGTCTCTCCGTTACTCGTCACACCTCTCCACCACTCATCACCCTATGCTGCTGCTCGTTTGCACCGATACCTACACGCTGCGCTGTCCTTCCCCCCGGCAGGTCAGATGACCAGGATGTGCGCGTCATTGCTGCCGATCTCTTCACGACAATTGCAAAGCACACAGAACTACGACCTCTGCTCGAGCAACAACTACGAGCCAAGTAGATGTAGCATAGCATGGTATGATGGCTGAGGGTGCATTCCTGTGGAGACACAAATGTCTCAATCGCTTTGTGACACACAAAAACAGCATAAACTGTAGTGTGCCCCAATCAGGGCCCTAGATATCAGACTTTGGAGTCTGATTCAGAGTCCGTTCAGACTTTTTTTTGTAGCCTAGTCTGAACTCCAAGAATTTTTTTAGGGACCCTGTCTGATTTTCCAGAGTTTTTTTACCTGACTTGTCTGAAATTTCAGACTACTTTGAGTAGTGTACGCTGACCCTCAGACTTGTATCGGGGGTGCACTCTGAAACCGCTTATACATGAGTTTGGGCCTGCCTGGCGGCGTGTAGGCTTATCCCCGTCAGTCATGGGCGGGACCCCAGAAATTTCGCCACCGCGGCACCGCACAGTCGCGTTGGTACAGAATTGCTGTAATCAACACCAATTCCAACCAATCGCGGCTGCGCACCAGGCAGTGTTGGCAAGATTCCTTGCCAACACTTAGCTCGCAGCGCGGTGCACCAACGTTTGACACCACGACCACTCACCACACCTCCCCTTCATTGTTGCGAGCGCATAGCTCGCAGCGCGCTGCCACTCTCACTTCACCACATACATCCACCCCACCCCACCTTCCACGTTGCCAACGCACAGCTCGCACCGCGCTGCTACTCTCACGTGACCACATCCATCCACCCCATTCACCCCACCTTCCCACCATTCACGCCCAGGTGCCGTGCATGCAGTGACCACCAGGGGGTTGAGAGGTCCTTATACGAGGACCTCTCATCTTCCTCTTCGTCACCGTGCTTGCCAGGCTCTCTCACGTCTTTCCGTTTGCCTTGTTTCAGCCTCCCATTTCCGAGCTCGCTACACCACTGCTCGGCAGGCTCAATGGCTGCCTCAGAAGCTGTCGATGAAGGGCCCAGCGAGGAGGATGATGCTGATGTTCGCCCAGCTTCGGACCCACTCACCGGTCTAGACTTCCTTAGGTCTCTCCTACCGAAACATAATCCACAGCAACCTAAAACGTCGCAACCCAGCTCTATTCGCCCATCGATTCCCGCTGCCTCTGCAGCTCTGCATGAGGCCTGTCAGAGGTCCACTGGTGATCCCCGATTGAACCTAGGGAACGGTTACAGACACGTTGTCCTGGGGGGTTATGGGCGCACTGACCTGCTACTTAAACAAGCCCTTTTATCCCAATGGTCTAGTGGTTGGGATTCTGACATGGTATCAAAGCAAAGATCTCGGGTTCGAGTCCCGGTGTATGCACTTCGGGCATCCCAGTGCGGGGGGGTGTCAGAGGTCCGCTGGTGATCCCCGATTGATCATAGGGAAGGGTTACAGGCACGTTGTCCTGGGGGGTTATGGGCGCACTGACCCGCTACTTAAACAAGCCCTTTTATCCTAATGGTCTAGTGGTTGGGATTCTGACAAGGCCGTCGCCGAACCAGCGACAGCCGCGCAATAGGCGGTGCGCCAAGATTCGTCCGTCGAAACACCTTCTCGTCCCGCGCCACCGACAAACCTGCGGTTCCGTCAGTCCACCATTGCGTGGGCAATACCACCTCCTTCATCAACCACTGAGACTCCTGCCAGTGATGCATCTCCCATGCAGGACAACTCGAAGCCCACGCAGGCTAGCTCAAAGCCCAAGGCTGACACGCCTGAGTTGAAATACGAAGAAGCGCATGCACCTTACAAATCCAAGTGGTCCACCGATTTCAGTTGGCTTGTTCTAACTCAAACCTCCACTGGTGCTCCTTCTTTCAAGTGCAGCATTTGCTTGGAATTTTCAGGATTGAATGGCAAGTGTGGGCGGCGTACCGAGGGAGCAACCGACGTGCAGACACAGTCCTTCAAGAAGCACGAAGGGACGGTGAAGCACCGGTTTGCTCTGCAGCGCCAGGAGGACTTGCTCCAGAAATACGGGCGCCAGCAGCGCATCGACATGCACCCGAAGGCGCAGGACTTGGAGATGATGCAGGTGTCTTCGCTCGTGGACTCGTTGTACTTCATGGGGAAGTCCAACGAGCCCATGGACTCGTGGATCCGGTTGGTGCGCTACCTGGCGAAGAAGAAAGTGCCCGGGTTTCCCGCGCAGGGCTACGTCACGTACAACAACACGTAAGTAGTGTCTGTTGCATGCCTGTTGGTTTTGTTTCTGTTTGACTGTCACTAACGACTACGTCTTCTTTGTGTAGGTACGGATTTGGAGAACTCACCCAAGCAATTGCAACGTGGCTCCAAACAACGCTTGAGCACCTTCTGACGAGCCCATTCATCGGGATTACACTGGACGAGAGCACCGACCGTTGCCGCGGCAAACAAATGATTGTGTTTGCCACCTTTCTCCGCGAGGGACAAGTTGTCACGGAGTTTATCGCCCACTTGACTGTTGAGAAGGCTGACGCCGCTCCTTTGTGCAGTTTGTTGGTTTCCCACCTCAGGGCTGTCGGCGTTGACCTGCGGCGTATCTCGGGAATGAGCACTGATGGCGCGTCTGTGATGATGGGGAGTCAAAACGGTGTGGTTGCTCGCCTGCGAATGCTCATCCCCAATCTGGTCTTGTTTCACTGCATCGCGCACAGGTGCGTTTGTGTTTTAATGTGTCACACTCTGTATTGTTTAACCCTTTGTTTTAACAATCACTAACCCATTTGTGTGTTTCTGTTTGGCAGGGAGGCGTTGGCTGCCAAGGCCGCGGCGGAGCAGATACCAACGTTCAACATGGTGGACAATGTCATCCGCGCCGCCGCAGAGTACCTCGGGCGATCGTCACCGTGGCATCAGCGCTTCATGGAGCTGCAGAAGGTGTTCACCTTCACCAACCTCGAGGTCCAAGGCATACATGACGTGCGGTGGCTTTCACGAGGAGCTGTAGTCACCCGGTTCGTCCACGTCCTTCCAGCGATCATGGTGATGCTGTCAGAGTGGAAGGACCAGACCATGTACAAAATCGTCATGTCGTACAGGTTCCAGTTCCTCATCAGGTTCCTCGTGGACCTACTGGAGCAGCTCAACGTGCTCTCCTCCGTTTTCCAGAAGCGGGAGGTAAGCTGCCTACTACGTGTTGCATGTTTTGGTTGTAATCCACTTTGTGCTAATTTTGTTTGAATGTGTTTGTTGCAGCTCGACTACGCGCAGGTGCACACGCAGATTGTGCGCACGACATCGATCTTGGAGAGCCGTTACGTCGACTGTGGTGACGACTTCGGGGGAGGGCCAACCGAGAGGCTGTACCGCTTCATCGAGAGGCATGGACCGCGTGGTTCACCAGAAATGGTGATCAAGGGAGCTTTGTCCGATGGCAGTCTCAACCGCTTCAAGTTGACGCTTCACGAGCGCACCAACCCAAACTATCATGGGCCCGGCCAACACGACGCGTGCCTGGCGCTCTGCACCGACATGGCCGAGCATGTCGTCGAGAACCTCCAGTCCAAGCTTGGCGACCTTGAGCCTCTTTCTGGAGTGAGGCTGTTTATCCCTGACTTGTGGCAACCGCAATAGGACCGGGACGCGCGGCAGGCACAGTGCCTGGAGTGGCTCTTGTTGCTTGTCACGTTGTTCCGCGCAGATGAAGCCGACGAGATCCTACCAGGTTAGTTTGAAGTGCCACCCGGTTCCCCCTCTCACGGCTTTTATACTAACCGTTGCCTCTTATACCTTGCAGGCATTGACAAGAAGAAGGCCATGAGGGAGCTTCGCACGTTGTGTCCAGTTCTTGCCAGAGCGCCGAAGAGTGAGCGTAAGTTCCACACGGGACTTACCGCCATTCTCAGGACACCCGATTGGCAGCAGGCGTACCCCAACCTCGTCGGACTCTGGGTGGCGATTGCAGTGCTGCCTCTCAGCACGGTCGAGTGTGAGCGAGGCTTTTCCCGACAGAACCTGATCAAGACGTGGCAGAGGGGCAGCATCAAGGATTGTAGGCTGAGCGATCTGCTTTGCATCTCACTGCTTGACTATGAGTTAGACGTCCCAGGAGTAGTCGAGATTTGGCGCGCTTACAAGAAGCGCCGGCCGTTCACAGCACCTGCATCAAGGCACAGGGAGGAGCCCCCAAGGGTTGGGAAGGAGCATGTAGATGAGCCAGTAGTGGAATGTGATCTTGTAGATTCTATGACATACTAATGCAAACATGTAACAATTGGTAGTTGTTGGTGTTCTCAAACAAGAGTAAAAATTGAGTGCTAGTCTGTAACATCAGCGTTGAAAAGTTTGTGGAGTCTGAACTTTCAAACTTTAAAATTTGGTCAACTCTGGCTGCCAGACTAGGAAGAGGGGTGTACTCTGAGGCCTCATACTAGATCAACACGAATCTAGGGGCCTGGTCCCAATTGCGAGTCGCATTTCCGCGACCATTACTGTATTTTTTATTGGTCAGCGTGAAACGCGCTGACGTCGCTGACGAATTGTAATCCGACTCGTCAATGTGAAACGTTCGCACGCGGCTCGAAATGTCAATGCACCTGGACAGCCTGCAATGCCAATTTCGTGCGGGAAAAAATCCCGCTCGTCGAAACCACACCCCAGCCAAGCGGTTGAAAAAAGGGATGTACAATCATTTGTGTCACCCAAACAAATGCGCACAACTGTACATCTCGCCTGGTCGCCTAGAGTCGCGATACATTGGTTGTTTGTGACACAACATTTGACAAATTTACAGGAGCGACTCGGTAAATCGGGGATTGAGACACAAGTGTCCCCGCAGGAATGCACCCTGAGTCTGCTTAGAGAGATGCCGCTGATTTCAAGCATACACATACCCGTGTGTACTAATATAGATAAGCAATTCAACTGAATTCAACCTGCTGAGGAGATGGATGCAAAAGGGCTGATTCTTCAGTAAAGGCAACCCACTTTCAACCATCCTGGCTAGATGGTAAAGCACCACAATATCAGAGAGCAAACGGGTGAAATGTAAAAGATATTCCGTTGCCGGGACTTGAACCCGGGTCTCTCGGGTGAGAGCCGAGTATCCTAACCGACTAGACTACAACGGAGTTGCCCAAATGTGCCTTTTCATTATACTATACGTTATTTTTTTGTCCGCCACAATGGCAAACAACCCAGAATTTCTTTCTGTGGAGATCCACCGATGGACATGAGTCAGCCCCACCTCGAGTCGCTACTTGCGCACGGTACAGCCAGCTGTTTGCCGGCTCAGTTCTTTCGTGGAGGCGGCGGCGGCCTGCAAGCATACGTGGCGGCACTTTTGTCGTTTCTGCAGCCTTGGCAGTGGTTGTGGAACGCGCATCTCGTCAGCTTTTTCGATCAGCGGCTGTGGGAACGCGTTGATCCACGATGGTTGGCAGCACTGTCGTCCTGCCACGTGTCGGAGCTGCTACTCGTTCCGTCTGGCCACGTGGCGGGTCCTGATTGGCCGGAAGATCTCGTTGACTTCATCAAGAATGCACGGAATCTTTCACTTAGGAGAGATATGGCGACGATGAGAGGCACAGGGGAACAGAAAGGGAGGATAGAAGCTGAGTTGCGAGGAGAAAATGGAGTTAAAAAGGTGACACGTGGCACCAGCAGACTGGCTGAGACGGTTGCAACGACACGTCAGCAGCGCAATTTGCTGAACCCTGAACCCTGGCTCTCGTCAGTTTCTCGTGAGCTGACACGTGGTATGAATCCGAAGAAGCTCCACGAGATTGAACGGCTGTCCTCGCTTGTAGTAGCTGCCGCGCAGCACACTGCCGCCCACAGGCCCTTCCACATTCACTGTTTATCCAGCTACAGTAATCACTGTTCCCATGGCTCTGATTATTACTGTTCATCAAGGATCTGCAATGTGCCAGAATCGAATTATGGCACTGTAACGGTGGTTGACCTTGGCGCCGGTCAGGGATATTTGTCTCAAATCCTTTCTTTTCATTTCGGGCTGCCCGTTGTGGCAGTGGACGCGTCGCACCACCACACGCGTGTGTTGCACACGCGTGCGGCGCGTGCCAGCAAGGCCTGCGGGAAAGAGGGGAGGCAGGGGAAAAGGGGGAAGGGGAAGAAGGAGGGGAAAGAGGGCGAGTGGAGGAAAGGGGGTGAGGCCACTGGATCAAGTGAGAAGGAGAAGGAGGAGGAGAAGGGGTTAGCAGAACCAGCGGTTGGTGCTGGTGCAGTAGCAGGGGGGGGTTCCTGGCCCTGTGCTTCCGAACCTGGATCAGAAGCAGGTACGGGTTTGGTGCTGAATCCGAGGCTAGTGACCCGAACCATAACTCTTGGCTCGGCAGCTGCCACGATTGGTGCGCTGCTGAGAGGCGGTGGGGAGAGGATGGGGGAGGAAGCATGCGTGGAGGAGGGGAAAGGAGCGGAGGGAAACGGGGGGAAAGGGAAGGAGGAGGATGAGGAGGAGAGGGAGGATAGAAGTGGAGAAAGAGAGGCAAGCAAGGCAAGAAGCAGGGAGGAGAGTGATGCGGATGCAGATGAAGTGAGTGGCATGGTAGGAAACCCGTTGAGAAGCAACTGCATGGAAAGCAACGGGATGAAAAATGACGGGATGGAAAGAGGCAGCACAGAGGAACATGGCGACAGCTGCAGCTGTAGCGTGCGGGGCATGCTGGCGGGGCTGCATGCATGTGGCGACCTGACAGTGAGCGCACTGCGAGCCTTTGTGCTACAGCCGGAGGTCAGAGCCATGGCCATGGTGGGGTGCTGCTACAACCTGCTGTCGGAGCAAGGGGAGGCTGTAGGTGTTGGTGGTGGGGAGGGAAAGCATGCTTCTTCGCTCCCTGCTCCTGCCACACCTGCTGATTCCTATCCTCATCCGCTCCCTGCTGCTGCCCACCCGCCGCTGGTGCAGCCACTGCAGTCCCGGGATTCTGACCCTTTCTCTACTCGTCTTGCTCCTGCTCATGCTGCCGCCGATGATGCTTCTCCTCCTCCTGCTCTTACTTCTCCTGCTCCTGCTCCTCCGGCCGTTGTCCTGCCTCCGTTTGGCTTCCCCTGCTCCTCCTATGTGCGCGCATTTCCAACCTCCATCGAACACACTGCCTCTGATCCGCACACGTGTCAGCCTCTCATTGGCCGCAACGGCCGTGACCTGGCGTGCCAGAGTGCGGACAGGTGGAGAGTAACCCCTCCTGAAGAGGCAGAGGGAAACTTTGAGGTGCATGCCTTCCGGGCTGCACTGGAGGTGCTGATCGTGCGGCATCGTGCAGATAAGGAAAAAGTTCCTGGTAAGGTAGATGGTGAGGAGACAGGTTCCCTGGGTGGGAGTGAAGAGGGGCTGGAAGGGGGTGGAGGAGGAAGTGAGGAGGGAGGGGCGAGTGGGATACGAGTGGGTCGGCTGGGGAAGGCAACGAGGAGAAGAAGAGTAACGGCTGCAGTCAATGCTGCTGCTGCCGCCGCCGCCACCACTGCTGTTGCTTCTGCCTCCGTTGCTTCATCTGATGCTGCCACGTGTGCTGCCACTGCCAGCCCATGCATTGCCGGCAGCAGCGCATGCAGGGAAACATCAGACACAGTGCAGGATGAGAGTCAGGATCAGCAAACAACGACACGCACTGACCCAAACTCCTCCTGCGCACCACAGCCCTCTCCCACTTTCCGGCCCTCCTCTCTTTCCTCCTCTCCTCCATCACCTCCTCCTCCTCCCACCTCTCCTCTCTCCCACCAGCATCACCTCGAAGCCTTTTCCTCCTATGCTCTCTCCGCGTGCCTCAAGCTGCGCATCTCCCCGCCCCCATCGCCGGCCCTCATCGCCAGTGTCTGGGGCGAGGTCTCTCCTTACGCCCCCCTCGTGCGCGCCTTCTGGTGCCTGCGTGCCGTGCTGGCAGGCCCGCTGGAGTCCCTGCTCGTGGCTGATCGGCTGCTGTGGCTGCAAGAAATGGGGGGGCGGTTGATGGTACAAGGAAAGGGAAGTGAGGTGGAGGAGCATGATGTTGAGAAGCATGCAAGGGAGGAGGGGCAGGAGGAGGAGCGGGCGGGGGAGCAGCTGAACCATCAGGTGAAAGTACAGGTGAAACAGCAGGTTGGGGGTTCGGAGAGCCGTGGGTTTCGGTATGGTGTTGTTGCTCTGTTCCAACCGGAGATGTCACCTCGCAACCTTGCCATTGTAGCACTCAAGGAACATCAGGGGTTGTGACCGCAATCACAAGTGCAACCGCAACTGCGACTGGGGCAATGAATGATGCCTCTACTCCACTCCACTCCCCTCCCACCACTCCCGTGGAACAGTAAACTCTCCACAGCTGCTGCTGCTGCCCTTTCAAAGAGTAGAGAGATGAGAGCACCTTGCCTGCATGTCCTGTGCTTGTGTGCTAAAGTGAGCTGAGCACCTTTTGGCACTTTGTAGGCAGCATTCTCAGAATAGGAATGCAACGGAATGATGAAACTAGGAAGTGTGGAAGTACAAATATGCAACCCTAACAACTGTACTCCCTATTGTGCTACTCACTGTAGCCTACAACCATACAATTACATTTGACACACCCCCATAGGCTAAGTGAGGGGCATCAAAACAAGCAAGGTGAACAAACGGTCACAAGACCAGTCAAAGCAAGAAACAAGGCAAGCTCAGGGTGGATCTCAAGGACACCACACAAATTCCGAGCGCAAGCAAGCGGCCACAAGGCCAGTTCAAGAGTTCACTAGGATATAAATAGGAAGCACAACAAGTAGAGCAAACAACAAGACTACAGCAACCGATGGCCTACCTCAACAAGCCCCAACTGCACACAGAACCAGTGGTGATCACCAAGCGCCAAGGCCTCGGTGAAGACGTCTACAGTGTTGGCCTCTGAGACCACAAAGTCCAGGCGTGCCTGGCCGCGTCGCTGCAGCTCTTGTAGGAGGAAGTAGCTCATGTCAATATGCTTCACTCTGCTCTCCAGTCGAGGCTCTCGACACAGGAGGATCATGGCCTTGTTGTCAGCGTACAAGGTCGGTGCAGAGCGAGGCCGCTCACCAAGGTCGGCGAGCAAGAAGGTCAACCAGCGAAGCTCCTGTGCCGCCATGGCACCAGCGTAGATCTCTGCCTCTGCACTGGAAGTAGCCACAGACGACGACCGTGTAGACCTCCACGACACAGCACCAACTCCCAGACTGATGCAGTAACCCTGAGTCGAGCGCTGAGTCTCCACGTCGTCAGCGTAGGAAGAGTCGCAGTGACCAGTCAACGCCACTGGCAGAGTCCCTCCAAGCACAAGCCCCATGCCTGATGTAGTCGCCAAGTACTTCGCCACCCTCACAGCAGCTGTCCAGTGGACAGGGCCGTGTCTCCCAGTCGCAACAAAGCGAGAAAGGATGCTGAGGGGAAAGGCGAGGTCCGGTCGAGTACAAGTCATCAGGTACATGAGGCAGCCCACCAGCTCTGCGTAGGGTCCACTGGACTCGAAGGGCTCGTCAGGAAAGGGGCCCGTGAGTCTGTGGTCAACGACAAGAGGAGTGGGCTGTGTGGTGGAGAACTGGAAGTCGAACCGCCGAAGGACCTGCTGCACCATGTGTGACTGCGTTAGCGTGATGGTGCGAGCGGCTCTGTCCTGGGTGATCTGCAGGCCAAGGTAGCGCTGCAGCTCACCTAGGTCAGTGCAATTGTGTCACTTCTGCAGTTCAGACTTCACCTGAGCCAGGGCTGCCCTGTCAGCTGTAGCAAACACCAAGTCGTCGACGTAGACAAGGATAAAGAAAGGAGTAGAACCCGCTCGAACAAACAGAGACGGGTCGGCGGAGGACGGGCTGAACCCAAGGTCACGAAGCATGGAGCGAAGAGTGTCGTGCCACTCACGGGGCGACTGGCGGAGACCGTAGACTGGTCGCCTCAGGCTCCACTGGGTCCCAGGTGGGAAGGTGTCAGTGAAGCCAGGAGGACGGCGCAGCCATATCTCCTCGTGCAGTCGGCCCTTGAGGAACGCAGTGGAGAAGTCGAGGGAGTGCAACTCGTAGTCTCGCTGCGCTGCTGTGTGGAGTAACACCCGAAGAGTAGTCATCTTCGGGGTCGGGGCGGAGGTCTGGAAGAAGTCAACTCCCTCACGCTGACTGAAGCCCCTGGCTATGTAGCGCGCCTTGAACACCGGCGGTGCTCCAGGCGGCCACTTCACCTTGAAGAGCCACATGCCATCGACTATGTTCGCCCTGGGAGGGGGAAATGCGTCGACGTAGGTGCCTGTGGATCTCCAAGACGCCAACTCTGAGTCCATAGCCGCTTTCCACTGAGAGGCCCACGCCCCTGACACTGCCTCGCGGTAAGTCCGAGGAGTCGGTATGTCAAGGGCGTCGGGGTCTCCATCAGGGGAGAGCAGCATGGCACACACAGAGGGAGAAGCGGCTGCCCAGTACTCCAACTCAGACTCTCTGTCCTCTAGGATGTCACAGCCAAGGGAAAACCCACCCCCGACGGACAGAGGACGGTAGGGAGGAGCTGGCACCACACGGGTGGCGTAGTCAAGGCGGCTGGCGGCAGCAAACTCAGTGACAGCGGCAGTAAGAGCCGAGGCAGACGACGGAGGGAAACGAGAGTCGGTGACAAGAGTGGCGAGGACACGTGCGACAACAGGACGAACAGTGCGGTAGAAGTCAGTTATAGGAGTGGGGAGGGCTGGGAGAGAGGACGGAGGAGGAGACGGGAGAACGGACACAGGAGAACGAGAACGACGACGGGACGAACAAAGGAGGGCAGTGTGGAGGTCAGTAACAGGGGACGAGTGACGAGCACGCGGAGGACAACGAGTGATCAAGTCGTGACGGACAGAGTGAGGAGGAGACCGAGGAGGAGGAAAAGACCAGACCGCCGGACGGTCGTCAGGAGGAGGCAACGAAGGAACAAACACAGGAGGAGACTGGGAGCGGATAGGAGGAGAGGAGGAAAGGCCAAGGGCCCGCAAGCCACTCACAGGTGGGAACAATTGCCGCTCCAGAGGAAGCTGCGGTGGCGGTTGCGGCTGCTGCTGCGATGGCGGCTGCTTTTGCTGCGGCTGCGGCTGCGGCTGCTGCTGCTGCTGCTGGTGCTGCTGCTCCAGAAGGTCCAGCACCCGCAGCTCCTGCCGCTCCCTCTCCAACCGCTCCTGCTCCTCACGCTCACGCCGACGGGCAGCATGGAGACGCGTGTCGTGGCGGTGGGGAGGCGGAGTGGACTCCGCAGAACCAGGGTCTCCAGCATCAGTCTCCTCAGACTGAGCACCCCCAGAACCAGCACCTCCAGTGCCAGCACCTCCAACTCTAGCACCCCCAGAACTAGCACCTCCAGTGCCAGCACCTCCAGCTCCAGCACCCCCAAAGCCAGCGCCACCTGCGCCAGCACCTCCAGATCCAGCACCCCGCGACCGAGCACCCCCAGACCGAGCACCGCCAGCGGCTGCACCTCTAGCTCCAACACCAACCGAGTCCACAGTAACCTGTCGCGGAAGTGCTGAAGGCTGCTGAGGGGACTGTGAGGAGGACTGCGGGGAGGGAGACGCTACCTGACGCGCGACCGAGGGTAGAGGGGTAGCGTGGGACACACCAGACGGGGCAGGACCAGGGGGGGGGGGGGCGGGGGTACCGGAGGAGCAGGAGCAGGAGGAGGAGAGGGTGCTAGGAACAGGGGGGGAGGGGGTACCGGGAGACCTCGACAGGGGTACCGGGTGTAGTAGGACACAGACTCGTCAAACCGGACGTCACGGGAGTCCAGGAATTGGTGGAGGGGTGGGTGGTAAAAGGACTAGTCGGTAGAGTCCACTGGGAAACCAAGGAAGACACAGGGGACGGCGCGTGCCGAGAGCTTGTCCGAGGAGGTGTCGCGAACAAGTGCAAGGCAGCCCCAGACTCAAAAGGCCGACCCAACACCAGGGGAACCAGTCCAAAGACTGGTCGGTGAAGCCTCGGGCCGCGAGACACGCGGCTGGAGGTTCAGCTGGTGTGCAGCGTAGCGAACCGTGTGAGGCCACAGAAAATGGGGCGCACGGGCATGGATCATGGACGTGCGGGCGATGTCCATGACCAAGCCTATGCGGCGCTCAGCAACCCCATTCTGCTGTAGGGACTCTGGCAGTGTCCAGTACTGGGTGATGCCCTCTTCGCCGCAGAATCCGCCGAGAATGCCGGAGCGAAACTCGCCCCCACGGTCGGAGTGAAGACAACTGACTCGACAACCACGAGTGCCCTCAGTGGCTAGAAGCCACCTGATCAGCGTAGCAGTCACCTCGGACTTCTTCACAAGAGGGAACACTGTGGTGTACCTGGAGTAGTCGTCGACGACCACAAGAAAGTAACGCTCTCTCCCAGACCCCTGCGTCGGGGAAGGGCCCCAGACGTCCAAGTGGAGAGTCTCGAAGGGAGCGGTGGCCAGACGGAGGGAGGAGGAGTGGGGAGTGGCGCGTAAGCAACCGGCGACGCACGGAGAGCAAGGAGGGGCAAGCGAGGGAGGGAGCGACGGGAAGGTGCGTGGGAGACCTGTGACAAGTCCCTGACTGTGCATGCCACGAAGGCGAGGGATCGACGGGTGGCCAAGGCGGTGGTGCCACAGGACGATGCGGTGGGCGAGAGAGCGACAGGAGCAAGACGCAGCGATTGGACTAGACACAGCGACCGGACTGGACACGACTACCTGGCTAGACACAGCAACTGGACTGGGGACCTGGGCCGGAGGGGACGCAACGACCTGAGGGGAGGACGCGACCGGGGAGCGCTCGGTGTGGAGAACGTAGAGACCGGAGTGGGGCTCCCTGGTGAAAGTGGCCAAAACAGCACCTGTGGTAGCGTCAGTACAGACTGCAGTCCGCCCACCCCCCACGAAGGTAACCGTGATCCCCCTGTCCTGGAGGTATCCAACACCCACCAAGTTCCGAGTGAACGAGGAGATGTGGAGGCCGCGCAGGACACAAGAGGGGACCACACGGCACGGGAGGGTGGTGGAGCTACGCGCAACGGCTCGTCCAGAGGTAGGATCAGCCAAAGCCACCGACACAGGGGTGAGGAGTGGCGTAAGGGTCGTGTGGTCGCGGAAGAAGCACTGAGACGCGCCCGAGTCCAGAGCTTGTTGGCTGCCTCATGTACCTGATGACCTGCACACGACCTGACCTTGCATACCCTCTTAGCATTCTCGCACGCTATGTTGCTCCTGGGAGACACCGACCAGAGCACATGGGTGCAGCGAAGAGGGTGTTGCGC